TTCAGTTGCTTAGCAAATAAATCTATTTTTTTATTATTATTAATAGAATAAATAACTGCTTTTATTTATCCCTTTACAGCATATCTCCCCGGAGTTCAGCTTTAAGCATTAGACATGTAAGCTGCTGAAAAATTCGGTTCGGATATTAGGAGGTTGTAGTTGGTTGGGGGTGTGCAGTGCTGGCATTTGTAGCTTTATACACTTTTTCACTGACATACTGGATTTGCTGTGAATTTTAAGAAAGCCCGATTATTGGAATTCTCTGGATAGTCCGGTCCGTTCGCATACTGCTGTCGGATATTTCGTTGTTTTCGGGATTTGGATCCGAAATTCAATTCGGTTCGGGTTTGGAATTCGGACAAAATCCAAATTTTGTTAGTTTCGGAGGAGTTTACGAATATTCGTTGCGAATACCACAGAAAACCATTAACAGATATTAATACCAAAGCATTCTCTCAGACCCGAAAGGGTGTGGGAGCCATATACATATATTACTAAAGCTGAGGCTCCCGGACCCGAATGGCATTAGGGAGCTCCCCAATGCAATTCGGAAATTTGGATACTGAATGCCATTGGGGTCTGGGAGCCTCAGCTATTGTATTATATGTATATACTGTATATGGCTCCCATGTTGCCATAACGAACATTCTAGTTCAGACCCATTCGGAGGCATTAACTCAAAAAACACATCTGATTAGTCACATTTCCCATACAGTTTTGTTTTTGAAAGAAATTCCGACGGGAACCCGAAATTCGGAAACCAGAATTTTGGATTCGGACACATGCGGATGCATTGGGATTCGGAAATTCGGATGTGTCCGAATGTCCGAATTTCAAAAGATTTGTTAGAATTTTGATTCGGAACAAAACGAATGGCAAATGTCTATTGAGCATTATCGCTTTGTGATGTACAATTTCCTCGGCGGTGAATCTTTGGTCGGTTCTCCTCTTCCACAATGTCAGCGGCTCGGTTTGCACCATCATGTGTCATTGCAGTTACTTACAGTCGGTGAATGTGATGACATATTGAAATAGAAGTGTTGTGGCTGTGCGGCCGGCGACATTCCCCCCCTCCCTCAGTCTGGACGGAACACAGGGATGAGACATGTCATGAATTATACATCAGATAATAAGATTCACTTTTACATACACTCTAGCGGGATGAGCAGCTGAGCCCCCCGGAAAGGATTGGGGTCAGCGCTGGACTGGATATCAAAAGCTTTTTTATTTCACATACAAAATACGATTTTTATTTAAATTGTACTGAGGCAAATTAATGGTAAGAGGGGCAGGCAAACTGCGTCCCTCCAGATGTGTTGCAACTACAGATCCCATTGGGCATCGCAAGACTCTCACAGCCACAGGCATGGCTCCCAAAGGCAGAAGCGCAATGGGATGTGTAGTTTTACCTCTGGAGTTTGCCTCCCCCTGCCATAGGTTGTACTTACAATATACAAAATGATTAGTATACCATTATATACCATCATAGCGTCATGCGTTGGTGTGGTATTGTAGGGTAGATTACCCTTGTGGTGTGTTGGGTGTGGTAGACGTGTTGGCCAACGTTTGTCATGGTTTTACTGCTGTCTTTGTCCTGAATAGGGAGAATTTCATCTGACTTCCTGTCCCAAAGACAAGGGCAAGAAGGAGCAGGAAGACACAAGGAGCTATAGAAACAGAAGAGATGTTATAGCCTTGTCTCACTCGTCTATATAAATGTGCATTTGCTGCTTTGCACCTATTAGAGAGACAACCCATCACTCCTTGTCTCTGTCACGGGTACAGGAAGTCAGGCAAAATCTCCCCAACAGGGACACAGATAGGTGTTCTATCCCAGCCTTTTTGAACCGGGGTGCCGTGGTACACTGGGGTACCTTCTGACTTCCTCAGGGGTGCCTTAAAATTTTGTGATGGTACAACTTTGATGTGAAGGGGGATCCTGATGTGAAGGGTGCGGCTGATCTTAAGTGGGGCTTCTAATGTAAAGGGGGCTCATGATGTGAAGGAGGTTTTCTGATTGGAAGGGGGGCTCCTGATGTGAAGGGGGGCTTCTAATGTAAAGGGGGGCTCCTTATGTGAAGTATACTTCTGATGTAAAGGGGACTCCTAATATGAAGGGATGGACATTTGTGTAAGAGGGGCTTCTGATGTAAAGGAGGGAGGGGGGGCCTGATGTGAAGAATGCTCCTGATGTGAAGGGGGGCTTCTAATGTAAAGGGGGCTCCTGGTGTGAAGGAGGTTCCTGATGTGAAGGGGGGCTTATGATCAGGGCTGGATTTACTCTCTCTGTTGCCCCAATGCCAGGTCCTCAATGCGCCCCCCTGTTTGCAGGCCGCATACAAGTGATCTCAGCGACACCACCGAGACGACTTGTACAAAACAAGCAGCGGCTTCCCCCGCTGTACATTTAGCTCTGCTTGCCCAAAGCAGGGCTAAATGTGGAAAATAACTACCCACCCGGCGCCCTGAACTGCATGTCCCGGGTGCCGGGAGATAGGAATTGCACACCTCTGCTGCCCTGGTTGGCCTTGTGGGAAATTCGGCCCAGGTGATATCACACGTTACGGTGTGGTAGATCTCATTGTGGCCATGAGGTGAGTTTGGGGTAGACATGTGCGATTCGTTTTGGAAAAATGTGTTTTTCTGACAAATTTTCGTTATTCGTAGATTTGGATGTATCCGAATTCCCGAATAACAGAAATGACAAATGAAAACAAATCCGTATTTCCGAAAACGAAATTTCGGACGAAATTCATTAGCGGTAGTCTGTACGAATTTTACGTTTGTGGACGAATTTCCGTTGCAGCAAAGTGACATTAAAAAAAAAATTATGTAACTTTGCTGCAGCGAAACGAAAACGATACTAAAACGAAAATGCGTACAGACTACAGCTAAGGAATTTCGTCCGAATCCCGTAACGAATTGACGCTCGGACCCGAATCCCGAAAAACAGAATAATGCAAAATCTGAATAGAAACAAAACTAATTTTTTGCCGGTGCACATGCCTAGTTTGGGGTGCCATTCAAATGAATGGCAAAGCGCAATGCACCATAACGCATGGTGGCTGCTTTGTGTGGTACTGTGCGTTAATCAGTTCGGCCCTCCACAGCAGTCCCAGTTTCTCATGTGGCCCCTGCAGAAAATGTATTGTCAACCACTTTCCTTGGCTTTAGGTCTACCTAATCAGGAGGAGTGGGAAGGGGTTAAAATCCCTCTCAGGTTTAAAGTAAAAGGTAATTTCTCCAGTGTGGGGGGAAAATGCCTAATTTGACAGTTGTCATGGAACAGGTGTCTCCCTTGGAGGGCTCCCCCTCTATTTCTGTTCTGTTGACAACTGCAAAATTTTGTAATTTCCATCATATTCAGCCCAGGTGACAATGGTCACCAGGACACATGGAGAGTGCGACTATCCCCTAAAAAGTCAAAGACAAGAATCTGACAGGGGTATGACCCTTCCAAAAAGTTGTGGCTTCAGATATGCTTTAGAAATGAACTCCAGGCAGATATGTAGCTATGTATTCAGTGATACATCATTCATTTTATGTTTTCATACAAGCAGTGTAGCTACCTGGATGTCACTTTGTGTTACCCTCTTTAGGTTCCTGTGCAGCACAGCTCAGGGAGAAGCTGACAATGAGTTTATGCGCTGACATGAAGCGTGCTGATTGGAGGAGGAGTGACAGAGAGATGAGCTCATCACTCCGCTTCTCCTTCACTGTCCTCTCACAGGCTGAGGAGAGACCATGACAGCCTGGGTTCAGGGCCTGGGCTGAATGATGCTCACTGTCATTCATCCCAGAACTCTGAGGACATCTAGTGCCAGAAAAGAAGTACTACAAGGCACAGCTCCAAATTGAAGAGTCAGCTTATTTTTTTTCCGTTCTGCTATGAAATGAATGAAATATCACAGGCATTTCTTTTGGAAGGAAAGTTATTTGGTGTTAACGATATATAAACGCAATAAAACAGAACCCTTTGAAGTTGCTTTAACTGTTCCCGTTGTGATCTGTTCTTCTGCAGCACAGACTTGCATCATCCTGTTCTTCGTTCTGCTCTTCACCCGCTTCTGGATAATCAGTGTTCTGTACGGGATCTGGTGGTTTATAGACTGGGACACCCCCAGCCAAGGAGGAAGGAAAAGCCACTATCTGCAGAGTCATGTGGTGTGGCGGTACCTAAGAGACTACTTTCCTGTAAAGGTATAGTCTGACCTCAGTCTATTCATCTTATTCACTTCTCATGTATCTGGTTTTACTTAAATGCATTTTGTATATATTAATATTCTTTATTTAAAGTGACATTAAAGGCAAAAAATTATCCCCTCCCCCCAATGTTAAGTAAAACACTTACCTTAAATGAGGTCTCTTAATCCGATCTTCTTCTTCTTTCCTGATGTTTTCAGCCTTCTCGCCAGCGCTCCTGCGGGTCTCCGATCCAGCGCTGACTCCTCTGTCCTTGCTGGCACTTCCTGCCCCACGGTGTCTGCATGCGGGTGCACGCGTCCATAGACTTACATTTTTTTAAACTAGTAAAAGTGTGCTTGTTCCAGAATGATAAGGGTTGTGGAGTGATGCAAAGTGTAGTGTGGGGGACAGGAGCTTTGGGACATGTCACTGCCTGAGAGATGTCGGAGTCCTTCCAGACCCATCATATAGATTTTTTTTTAAAGCTAGTAAATGGGAGGGAGGGATTGCGGAGAGCTTTTAGGGAGAGGGTTATAATAACTCAACACAAACAATATTTTTTGTAAGGTTTCAGAACAATGGGGAGTGATGTGTAGAATACTATGGATGTGCCAGAGTCAGCTATGGCGCCATGGGGCATGAGTCATCAAGGTTGTCTGTATGAGTACAGCTGCTACAGTGTTACATTGTTGCTCTCCATATTTTCTCACTCTCATGGTTAGGAGGGCCCTGGCCATAAGAGCTTACAATCTAAGGGCTCATTCACACGGGAATGCGCCGGCACGTACATTTCCGTGCTGCGTGCACGGCCGTATGGGGCAGCTCCCGGGAAGGACAGGTGCTGCGTGTGATTAGTACTCAGCCATTGTCCTTTTTCCTGATTCCTGATCATCTCTCCAGCTTGCTCAAAAAGTTCACTGCATGGGGAGCTGTTCTGCTGATAAGCATTTTGTACAGCGCCGCTCAAACTGTTGGCTTTATACTGTATAAATCCTGAAGAATAATGGTAATAATAATAATAATAGGAAGAAGAAGTTTCAAACGCAGAGGCTAACATCCTGAAATCAGGTGCTCCTAGTCACCACTAGAGGGGGGAAGAGAGTTTAGATAAATGAGGCGGTCTTGTAACAGAATCCTGGACTTCGTTAGAAATCTGGACCGTGTCCGCGCAAGTGCAGGAGAGGTGAGGTGATTGGGTCCAGGAATTTCACAGCCTATTTGCCTGTATTGCGCATGTGTCAGGAAGTGTGTCCAGATAATGTACAGGCAAGGCGCCGCTTCCCCACACATGTGCAATTGGCAGTAAAGTTTGTGGACCTGATCACCGTATCTGAGCATGTGCGTTAAGCCGACACCCCCTCCAATCCATACCAGACCCTTTATGTCTGGTATGAATGTTAGGAGGAACCCCAAGTTAAAAATAAAAAACAAAGATGCGTAGGGTTCCCCCTAAAGCCATACCTGGCCCTTTAGGTCTGGTAGGAATTTTAAGGAAGAACCCCACCCCCAAAAATGGAGGGGAAACGTGGCGTCCCCCTAAAATTCTCAACCAGCTCCTTAATCCGAGCAAAGGCCTGGCAGGGCAGGAAAGGGACACATGCTCTCAGCACTGGGATGTGCTTTTCCAGGATTGCCAATTCCATACCAGACCCTTGATCCGAGCATAGGCCTGGAAGGGCCAGAAAAGGGGGAGGACGAGCGAGCGCCCCACCCTCTCCCATACCAGGCCACCTGCCCTCGGCACTGGGAGGGTGCTTTTCCAGGGTTGCCCCTGGAAGAAAATGGTCTGCTTCGGCTGTCACTATGGCTCGTTTGGCTGTCACTACGGCTTTGTATTGTGAACAGCCCGTATTGTGAATAGCCCGTAGAGCAGCCCTTCGGTTTGGCAGGCCGAAGTGAGCTGAAGGATTAGCCGATGCTTTGGCCTAATCCTTCAGCTCCTTTGTGAATAACCCTCTAAAACTTTTAAACATCAAGCAGCAGCATCCATTGTAAGTGATTTCATCAGCATTTGGATGTTAATATGTTGAAAATCTCTAGAATGAGACTTGAACGGAATGAGTTCATTTCCTTTATTGAACACTAGATGGCTCTTGGAGCCTGGGCATGAACGGAGCACATGTTCCATCCTGTGTACTGTTGCTGACTTCCCGGCTATCTTTCTAAAGGCTGTTATGTTATCTGCGCTGTCATTATCTCAGGGTCAGGGATCCAGGCTCCACTGGGTTCCATTGGTGATAATGAATAATATCTTGAAAAAATAACCATTAGCCTCACCATTATTAGGGCAATCTGTAGGGTGGGTGATAATGCCGTACACCATGCTCTGCCCTCCAGCTGAACTGTACTGGAACGGATGTCACACAACTGGACCTTTAACAAAGGGCCATTGTCCTCTATAGTGCCCACATTGGCCATTCTGAGTCATCATTAACCAATAAAAGACCGGGGTGTTAAACCCCCTTCCTGCCCAGGCCATTTTTCAGTATTCAGCGCTGCGGTACTTTGACTGACGTTTATTGCGTCATGCAGCGCTGTACTGAAATCAATTTGATAACATTCTTTGGGGACACATAGAGCTTTCTTTTGCTTGTGTATAATCACCACTGGGGTGTTTATTTTTTACTATATAACAAAAAAAGTACCATACATTTTGAAAAAAAAAACCTGTTTCCCTATGAAATGTTATGAAACATTTATTATCACCCCAAATTTTTGGTAAAATATAAAAGAAGGGGTCACGTCAGGTAAATAGACACAGGGCTGTAGCTACCATGGGGCGAGTGAGGCACTCGCCTCAGGCGCAGCTGAGAGCGTGCGCAGCCAGGGCCGGTCCGACTGCGCCCCCTCGCCCCTATTGCCATGGTGAGCACAGGGCACCATTGGCAACCGGGGCGCCAGGCTGCCAACACAGCCGTGGCTCAGCAGGGAGAAGAGGAGCGGCACAGGCTCTGTTTTTTGTTTTTTTTCCTTTACTATATGAAGAAAAAAGTAGGGATGCACTAATATATATCGGCCATTGAAACATATCGGCCGAAAATGGCACTTTTGGCTATATGCCGAAAGTGCCATTTTCCTGACGATACATCTGCGCATCCCTGGTTTGTTTAATCCCCACTGGGCGCTGCTCTGTGTCCCAGCGGGGAGGAGAGAAAGTGATAGCCGGCCCAGCGCTGCGGGAGGAGAGCGGCCGGTGTCGCTCCTCCCACACCGCTCAGCCTCCTATCACAGTCCACAAGAGCGGTGTGGGGGCGGAGACAGACCGCGCTGTCACAGGAGGCTGAGCTCTCCTGCCTGCTCCGCTCGGTCAGCCTCCTGTGACAGCTGTCAGGATGGAGAGCGGGTACAAGCAGTCTGTGATCAGTGATCGCTGAGTGTTTGCAGATAATTGAGGATATGGTATGTGTACTATATCCTCAATTATGAATGAATGAGAAGTGATCTACATCACCTCCTGTTCATTCATGATTGCGGTTATAGTAAACATACTCCGGGGTCACGTCGGGTAAATAGACAGCAAACATGCCAAGCCTTAAAATTGCGTGCGCCCGCGAAATTGCATGAAACTACCATACCCAAAATTGTCCATAGACAACGCTTTAAAAGCTTTTACCTCTCATCAGTTTAGAGTTATCAGTGATTGATGGCCCTAGAATTATTGCTCACGCATTGCGAACCTGTTGTACCAAAAAATTGCCCCTCATTAGACTCCCTATTTTATATAAATATTTTTTTTTTAAATAAAAAAAATTGAAGTGACAGTATACAAATATCAATCAAATACATAAAACGATAAAACAAAAACAAGAAACACAAATGAACAGAAATCAGAAGGTGACTTTATAATCCACAGATGCCATTTATTGTCTCAGCCTTTCTAATCCTGCCCCCGGCTGTCCCTAGAAATTGACAGGTTCCACTGGTGTGATCAGATTATGTAACAAAAGTTTAGCTCTCAGGAAACTTGTGATCCCAGTGACTGTCTGTGCCGGCAACCATTCTGTGCTAGGGTGATCCTTCCCAATGTCAAAGACATAAAAGACCCTTCTCCAGAGATTGAAGCCTGGTGGGCCAGATAATGGGGGGTTGGGTTGTAGGACATGCAGCTCCTTGCTAATGGTTAAGGCCACATGCTTTAAACATTGGGAGGGTAACTTGCAAGAAAGAGCCGGGCGGCGAAGCTTCCCTCTATTGCAAGGCATCTTGTTCCTACGTTGAGAGAACAAGGGCCTCATCTCCACAACCTGTCCCCCAAAAGGGATATGGGGGTCTGCAGGAAGGGGCTTATCAGAATCCTTTATTAAGTCCTTAATTGAAAAACACATTAAATTAGTAAATCCAACGTCAATCACATTGTCCAGCAATGCCTGGCGATATTGACTCTCTGCAACAATGACCTGCTGAACCCGTGATGCTCCCTCTCCACTACGTCCATTGCAAATAACAGATCCCCTGTACTGGATATAAATAAGCTGGCGGGGGATCCTGGATGACATCATTGCACAAACATGGTCATGGCCACATTTGGTCAATGACATCACCCAGGATCCCCAACTCATATGTGTGCGAACAAAAGCCCAACATAGATCTGTCAATTAGTAACTGTAGTGCCGCCAAATGTCAGATCCCCGACTGAGTACATAAAACTGTATCTGCAACTTTACATTTAGATTTAAGACATCCACCCAAACACATTATTAAAAGGATTTGTGTATTTTTTAACGTTGCCCTTTAATTCAATTTAAAGAGACCTTCTCCCTCCTGAATGGCATTTTATTAAATATTTTTTTGCGTTGGTACGTCCAGGTAAAATGCAAGGTCCACGTGTACTGTCAGGCCCCCTCCCTCTTTAATTACCTAAAGCTAGTAGTCACAATATCTACTAGCCAGTCTTCCACCAGTGGTCTGTAGACGAGAAGGATGTCACACTCCTTCCGGCGAGATCCTGGGTAATATAGAGCAGTCCAAATACTGTGAAAGGACACTCTTGCAATGGACTGGAGTGTCTTCTTGCA